CAGCAGGCAGGTCAGATTTTAGTTACTTGCAATCAGTATTAATACCATTGCAAATGCTGAATGGAATAGTCACTGAAAGAGCACACAGCATGAAATGCCTGTATTAATGATAATTGAGATGTTCATAGTTCACTCCTGGATTTACAAAAACACTTTAGTAAATTAACTTACTCCACTTTACAACATGAGACATACTTGTGCAATGTCACAAAGAATGTGCACATCTGAGTAACAACAATACTTAACTATTTTACTGCTTATTTGGGTCTCCAGAATCACGAATGTGTCAAAAATGACAGTACATGCTTAACTACCATTACCATGGGCTTGTATTTCATTTCACTTGCAATCTTACGGTAAGTTGATCCTTAATAGTTTTCACAAGACTGAATTTGCTATAGCGTCATGACGTATTTGGAGGGTTGTCACAAAGACAGCAGTGTTAGTGATTGAAATGGCTCCCTTTGCTCATAGTAATAAAAAAAATCTGGGAAAAAACTACCAAATTACACAGAAATTATTTTAGGAATCCCTTGCTGAATATAAATGACACATTGTAATCAGAATTTTCAGCTTTCCAAAACACTTTCAAAGAAATTTCAAAACAAAAAAAAAATTAAAATAAAATCCTTTGGTTCAACATGCCAAAACAAAGCTTTCAAGTGACTGATTTTTCCATTTTCAAAATTTAAATCAGCACTTTATGTGTTGTTTAGTTTGGGGTTTTGTTTTTGTTCTGTTTTGTTTTTTCTCTTTTTCAGAATGTGTTCATCTTGTGCTTAAATCAAATTTGTGACTTTAAGCATGTTAAACTATTTTTCAAATTAAGACACTCTTATCTGAAAAAATTGTCCTGAATTAGTTGCTAGGCTTTGGCCAGTAAGTTCCAAATTTACATTTGTTCGTGGCATACAAATAACTGCCCAAAGGAGAATGTATATACTTACACTTTATATATTGGATTAAAACCTCTGTAACAGCAGTCATATGAGTTAATTAGATGCTTAATAAGCATGATTAAATCAATAATATGAGTGCAATTATCAGCTATGACTTAGTGCTAGGTGGTCTTCCCTTCCTTATTTAATAGACTTATTGTTCCCATCCTCACTGAGTGAAAAACCGGCTGGCTGGCCATGCCCAAAGAGTAGTGGTGAATGGAGCTAA